GTAAATATTTCTACAAAAGTTATTTAAATTCTATACAAACTACTAGGAAACTGGTTTAAATATGTCAATATTCCTTTACACTTTTTTTATCCCATGCAGCTGTCTGGTATTTAAACTCAATCTTCTTTACCATACAATCATTATGTAATAATTATTCTAAAATTTATTTAAAGTGTATGGTTCGATTGATATACCATTATTTATTTACAGTAGAACACATTTATCTGAAACCGCAAAAAAAGCGATAGAGAGGATCATTAATTTATGCGAATAAATATCAAACTTCTAAAATAATATATAGATATATAGATACATAGATATATAGATACATAGATATATAGATACATAGATATATAGATACATAGTTATTAGATATATAGATATATAGATATATAGATATATAGATATATAGATAAATGAAATATAGATATATAGATATATAGATATATGATATATAGATATATAGATATATAGATATATAGATATATAGATATATAGATATATAGATATATAGATATATAGATATATAGATATATAGATATATAGATATATATAGATATATAGATATATAGATATATAGATATATAGTTATATAGATAATATAGATATATAGATATTATAGATATATGATATGATATATAGTTATAACTTTTTATTCTTTATAAAATGATATGTGTTCGATGGAGAATTAAGTAACGAAAAACTCTGAAGGAAATGCACAAATTTATTCAGATGTTTACAGTTTAGGTTACAGAACTATACTAACTTAAGAAATACACACTATATCTACAAAAAACCTCTCATAGTTCTTGATAATACGTAAACACTTAGAGATTCTCGGCATGGGTGTTTATCATCTTCCAAAGGGTCTTGAATATTGAGATGAAACACACACACATGCAGTGGCGTGCTCGCCATAACACCTCCCTCCTGAAGACCGAAGCTGGGGTGTTCAAGAAGGGCTTCTTTTACAGCTTCGAAGTTTTGGCGCCTCTCTAGATATACTCCGCACAGGGCAGGTAGGGCCACATGGAACAAAAAAAACCAACCGGCAATAACTCATTCTACTGTTGTTGTTATGAGAAGGCCGTAGATGAAGTGTACCACAAGGTAATCGAATTATATGTTGCAGTTATTATTGATTAAAATCCCTTTATAATATGGATAATGAAAGGTCATATCTACTACTTGCCGTGTTACACTTCAACTTCGTTTAGTTAATAGCATCATAAAATGGTTTTACATTATTAAAATGAAATTTTCGAATAACCTCGTTATCTAACTTAATTTTTAGAGTTTTATTGGTTTCATTGACTTCAAGAACAACATTATGGTCCTGTATTTAATACCGATTTTGGTGTATTTGGATTTCTTGGTCTTTTTAAGAGAATTTTATCTCCAACTTTATACTTTACTTCCAAGTTGCTCGTTCTTAAGTTATCAAAGCGGTTCTTTTGCTTTTTCCTTTGATCGCATTGTTTTTCCCTTATATTTTCTAACTGATTATTATACGAAATTTCATCAATTCTCTATCATTTTTATATGGAAATACTAAACTATAGGGTGTAGTGGATGTTGAATGATATTTACTAGAATTATATGAGTGTATAGCGACTAAAAGTGCATCTTCTAAGTCGCACTGGTTATGTTCTAAAAGATAACTTCGCAAAGTATCTGTTATGTTAGCATGGAAGCGCTCAATTATACCGTTAGAGGCATGATACTCAGACGAAGTAAGGTGCCATTCGATATTCAATGAATTAATAAAACTTTGCACCTTTTTATTATTAAATTCACCCCCGTGATCTGACATAATCATCTTAGGAAGGCCGAAAAGCGAAAAATAATTTTTTAATTTACTAATTATCGTTTCTGGGTTTTTATCAGTTAAAATATACGCTTGTGCAAATTTTGTTAGATTATCTATAACGGTGAGCATTTTTTGTTTATCAAAAAAGAACAGGTCTACAGATAAAGCCTCAAATGGTTTCTCCGGAGAATGCCTTACATTTAAACCTTGAGTACGATTCCTACGATCAAATTTTGAGAGTTGACAAGTAGGGCATAAAGTAATAAACTCGGTTATTTCTCGATACATATTTTTCCATTTATAAAGTTGTCGAATTTTGTCTGCAGTTTCATTAATTCCTTTGTGATAATTACCCGGGTCGTTATGATATTCGAAAATTATCCTTTGCCTTTCTTCTACAGGCGGCATAGTAACGATATTTTTACAAATTATAAAGTTCACGTCTGGGTAAAGGAAACTGAGCATTTTATAATAAATATTACTTTCAAAATAAGGTATGCAATAAGTTTTATTTCTAACTAATACTAGTTTTTTCAAAGTATTAAAATTCTCAAGGCAATGGTGTGGCTTAATTTTAACTATAGTAATCTCTCTACTACGATTTTCGTTATATAACTTTAATATTTTTTCAAAATCCGAGTCACCAACAGTGGGAAAATTATCATTGATTATTTCGAAATGATTTACATTTCTGTCATTCTCATCGTATAAATATAAAATAGTTCTTATTGTTAACGTCTAAGATTTGCTCATTAGAGTAGTAAAGTTATTTAAATTTACGTTAGTTTTAATATTCTCAAATTCCGTATATTCATTTTGTTTTTGATCACATAGACGAGTCAAGTTAGTAGAAAATAAGCGTTTTTTCGACACAAGTGTATAGACGGGTTTGACAGTTGAAATGGATAGTATGAGATATTACAAAAAGACTCTCATCTAGGGATTCATGAATTTTTTAGTGGAACTATTTTTAAATAAACAATTAAGACGTCAATATCATTATTTTGCTCATAACTTATAAACTTGTCTATTTAGAGATTTGACGTCCACAGACGAGTTGTTGAGAAAGAAAAAATACACAAAATGAGATATACTAAATTAAAATCGGTTAATAAACAAAAAAGTTATTGCATAATAACCAAGCAAAACGGCTGATTTTGATTATTGTTAATAACTCTTTTAGTAATCAATAAAATTTATTTAAATGTATCTAAACTTAAAGATCTCATCGTGTTCGAAGTGTGTGCGAAAGATAGGCTAGATCCGTCAAATAGTTTTTGCACAATTTAATTTGTTTATAAGATTTTTTGAAAAATGCACAAATTTCTAAGGCCGGTCCAGATAATTTGACTGAATGGATCTTAATAATCCGGGGCTTATTTTCTTCGATGAGACATATATTAATATCCTGTGGAAAAAAAATTAAAAAAAAATACGTTTATGTACACAAAATGATTTATTAATAAATAGCACTTTTTAAGTTTATAAACATTTACAATAACTCCGTACTATTTAGTTTAAATTAAATGGCAATAAAATATTCGGAAGGCGGGTTTAAAAAACAACAACTTTAAAAAAAAAAGGTCCTGCGACCATTAGGAGCCGAGTTAGTCCTTTTTTTAAAAAAAATCACTGTTACGTCAATTAACAACATTAAGGGCTGAAATTAACCAATATTTTAGAAGAAAAGTCAAAGTTATTCACAAAATGTTTAGCAAAAAAAATAATTGAAAATTGTTTAAACAGGAGTGTTGTAAACGAAGAGTACTTTGCGTTCCGACTAGAATGGAAGGAGTTAGGATTGCCGATTGCACACAAACCGCGCTCTCCAAAAAAGTCGAGCGCACGGTTTCAAAATAGAGTGCTTGGAAAAAATGACATATCTCGGGTTCTAGTGGACCAAATTTGTTCTTTTTTTTTTAAACTGGGGTACAACGTTAAAATAATAACATTTAACGTACTTTCATTGCAAAATTATTCAAAACAAAGCAGCTAATGACTACGGAATGTACAAACTTTTTCTTAAGTCGTCTTTTTATTGTTATTTTTCTATTTATTTATTTCAAATATGATTATATTAAATAAATGTTATAAGTAAATGAACATTTTGAATAATGTTTACTAAAAATTTATTAATGAAATAATAAATTAATTTTATGTTATTACAGAAGTTGAAATTTTGTGTAGTGATTTTTTAAAATAATTTAATTTACTGTAATTTTCTACGCTTAATTTCTATATCGTCACTGCTACTACTATGTAAACATTCATCTTCACTTTCATCTTCAATTTCACTTGTATTATAACTTTCATAAATCATTTCATTTTCATTGTCGCTATTCTCATCAAACCCAGTTAAATACATTTCATCAATTATCTCTTGTTCATCTGTTGTATCGTTTTCTTCTTCATTAATAATTTCATAAATATTAGTACATTATAATAGTAAAATAATATTATATTCAAAGTTAACCGTATATTATTCAGACAACGTGGTACAACCATGTGTTTATATTAATATATATCACAACACGTAGTTTTTTTTAATACTCAGATGAATTTTACTTACCATTAACTATTTGTAACAATTATTAAATAAAACAAAACACTAAATATTTCAATACAACAAACCGGTTGTATAGTCGCAGGAAAATGAGTTGTAACTTAACGGCCTAACAGCATCTGCTTTCGACGTGCGCTCGACGCTCGACTTTTTTTAGAGCGCGGCTTGAGTGCAATCGGCAATCCCCACTGCTTCCATTTGAGTCGGAACGCAAAGTACTCTTGGTTTACAACACTCCTGTTTAATCAATTTTCAATTATTTTGTTTGCTAAATATTTTGTTAAAAACTTTGACTTTTCTTCTAAAAGATTGGTTAATTTCAGCCCTTAATGTTGTTAATTGACGTAACAGTGATTTTAAAAAAAAAAGGACTAACTCGGCTCCTAATGGTCGCAGGACCTTTTTCTTTTTTTTTAAGTTGTGTTTTTTAACCAGCTTTCCGAATATTTTATTGCCATTTAATTTAAACTAAATAGTACGGAGTTATTGTAAATGTTTATAAGCTTAAAAAGTGCTATTTATTGTTAAATCATTTTGTGTACATAAACGTAATTTTTTTTAACTTTTTTTTCCATAGGATATTAATATATGTCTCAACAAAGAAAATAAGCCCCGGATTATTAAGAT